GAACCTACATGACTGCAAATCTTTTCCCTACCAATATTAATAGTCCTTTGGCCAAAGGGATGGATACTAAACTTTATTGAGTAAGAGCTAGTGTAAAAGATAGGGCTAAAAAAGGAAGGGAAGGAGGGAAGGAAGGATGAGAAAGGAAGAAAGAGAGAAGAGAGAAAGAGAGGAAGAAAGAAAGAGAGGAAGGAAAGAATGAAGGCAAGAAGGAAGGAAGAGAAAGAAGTTAAGCATTGAAGTGAATTTAGAAATAACTATCAAAATATTCTAAAGTACTAGGTCACCAAAGAGTTACACTACTGGATTTTATAAAATTTGACAGAATCTCCATAATAACTGCATATACATTTTTAGAAGATTAAATAATGCTAAGAGATCAGTGGGCACAAAAAAGAAAAAAAGGTTTCATCAGTTATTTGTGTTTGGATCAGTACATTCTGCCTAACACTTTGAGATTAGAGAAGGAAATAGCAGTATCTAGAAAACACAAAAACGTAAATAAAAGAAAACCCATTGCTTCCTCATGTGACACAGAAGGCAAAAATCAATTGTTGGATGTTAATTATTACAATATATCAATTATCTAGCATCACTACTATGTAACACTTCAAGATTATCAGGTGTGTAATTCGTTCGTTCATCCACTTGCTAGGTGCTTACAGATTTGCTAAATAGTGGGGCAAGAAAGATGAGTGAAATATAGTCACTGCTTCAGAAAGTTCATATCCTTTTGGACAAGAGATATGTGTAAACAAATAATTCAAACATCACAAAATAAATGCTTAAAAAATGGAGATTGAATGGAGTGCTCTGGGAACTTTGAAAGGACATGACCAAGGGCCTGGGGGCACCAGAAAAGACTTTATAGAAAAGGTAACATTTGAACTGAATCTTGAAGGAAGACAGTGTTTTACAGAGTGAAGGAGAAACATTCTAAACATAGGGAGCGAAATGTGTGCAGAAAGTAGATGAAGCAGTAAGAAGTTTGGAGGACGGTGACGTGTCATGTGGCTGGAGCACTGGGTGCCTGAGGGAAAATGAAGCAGGAGAGGCAGGTCTCAGATTATGTCAGATTGTGACTTCTGTACTGTGGGCAATCCTGCCAGCAATGAGGTTCCAGTAAAGGTGTACCACCAGAAAAGTGACACATCGTTATAGTTTCTCAGAAAAACAACTCTGGTGCTTATCTGTAGGATGCACTTAAATTGAAAGCAGTCCAAAGCTGAATCTGCTAAGTAAGAACTCTGTTAAGCTATTATTATTGTTTTACCTGAAAAAATACTGACTTCAGCAAAAGTGTCCCTAAACTGAGATCACAAATTAGTATCAACTGCCATCATCAAGACTAAGAGAAACAAAGTAAGTACACAAATATATATTAATGAATAATTACAATGGTCTCAAAGAAAATTGTTAATAGGACTATGACAAAACAAATATTCAGCCCTGAAACAGAAGTAAAATATTTTTTAAATGATAAAAAATTATATATACTCCAAAATATCAACCATAAAAATAGTTTTACTTATACTTCTTTATAGTTTTGGATTCTTTTCAAATTTTCCACAATAAGCAAGTAGTACATTTATAATCAGTAATGAATTTTAGAAGCATACAGTTTATTGCAGCTCATAAACAATCATCTGTATAAAAATCTTAACAGTAAAATAGTACCTTCTTGTCTCCTTGTTTTCGTCTTCTTAACCCTGGTCTATAATCATCTCCAAATCTCAGAAAATAATAGTAGGAAACTAGCCGCTCAATAGGATCCCTTATAACATTAATGTAAATTGGTTTCTTCTTCACACCAAATCTAAAATAGAACAAAATTTCAAAGGTGAAATTGAAATTATCATTCTGCTTAGGGGTTTCCTGAAATTATAAATTTGAGTTACTAATTCTTTATGGGAGAATTTAAATAGAATATGTAGAGATTACAAAACATCTTATGATTATGTTACAACAAAATAAACAAGAAGTAAGAATTTAAAAATTACAGATGATGATAAAGTGCAGAAAATAAAGCTGAAAACTGAATTTTAAATTATTTAAAATTTTACTGGCAAGAATTACATAAAAAATTTTAATTTTATGTAGCAATGATTTCTCATTTCTGTTCTACCAAACTAGATAAACATCAATGGATTCAGCATAAGCTATACCAGTGTGAGCATTTGAGTATACCTTCTACTAATGCTAATTTTAAAGAAAAGACAGATGTAAAAGACATTAAGTTCTCAGCATTATCTCCACAGGGAATGATAAGAGTTGAAGGAACACAGAGGCTTTTATTTTAGCAACTCTTACAGACTCTAGAATTGAGCAACTGGCTCCCTGTTCTCATATCCTCACCTGTCTCAGTCTTGAAACCTTCGTGTTACCTCGACTCTCCACACTCCTTTATTCTTCACTTAGTACAGCTACCAAGTCCTTCTGATTTTTTCTTTTGTAGGCTTTCTCTCAGATTTGACCTGTCCTCATCATTTCCTTTCTCTTCACCATTGCCTTCTTCCTAGGCTTCATGCTTAGATTACTGCAATAACCTAGTTGATTTCCTTGCATTCAGTCGCTCTCCCTTTCAATCTACTTTTCATACCAATTCTCAACTGATATTCCTGAAACAACTTCTATTAGATCACCTTCTTAGGAATCTGAAATACCTCTATTGTTTATGTTGACATCAAACCTAATCTCCTTCGCCTGATTGTTAATGTCTGCTTGCCTTGTCTTAGGTACCACCTTACTGATCTAACTTTATTTTCAACTCTTCTCAAATAAGAAACCATTTATCTTCTACAGTTAGGTCCACCTCTTCCACTCCATATACTTAATCCTATTTCTACTTACATGCCTTTGGTCATTCTGTCTTCCTTAACTAGAAGGCCATGCTCATTTTTCTATTCTTTCTTTCTATTACATTAATTCATTAAATAATTATTTTTTGTGTACCCAATATATGCTAGGTACTATACTAATAATAGGCATACAGCAGTGAAAAGAAAGGCAAACCTCCTTGTCCTTTTGGAGCTTACATCTTATTTGGAGGACACAGGATATAAATAAATAATAAAATATGCCAGATGGTAAAAAGTACTAGGGAGAAAAATGATGCAGTGAAAGGGAACAGGAGTGCCAGGAGACATGGGGAGAATATAATTCAAAGTAAGGTTGTTCAGGAAGGCTTCACTAGTATTATGTGATGAGCATGGAGCCATGTAGATATCTGGGCAAAGTGTCCCAGGAACATGAGACTTTCAAATAGAAAAGGCTGAAGCAAAGATGTGGCACATATACACAATGGAATATTATTCAGCCGTAAGAAGAAAACAAATCCTACCATTTGCAACAACATGGATGGAGCTAGAGGGTATTATATGCAGTGAAATAAGCCAGGCAGAGAAAGACAAGTAGCAAATGATTTCCCTCATTTGTGGAGTATAAGAACAAAGGAAAACTGAAGGAACAAAACAGCAGCAGAATCACAGAACCCAAGAATGGACTAACAGTTACCAAAGGGAAAGGGACTGGGGACGATGGGTGGGAAGGGAGGGATAAGGGTGGGGAAAAAGAAAGGGGACATTACGATTAGCATGTATAATGTAGGGGGGGGGCATGGGGAGGGCTGTACAACACAGAGAAGACAAGTAGTGATTCTACAACATCTTACCACGCTGATGGACAGTGACTGTAATGGGGTTTGTGGGGGGGGACTTGGTGAAGGAGGGATCCTAGTAAACATAATGTTTTTCATGTAATTGCAGATTAATGATACCAAAAGAAAAAAAAAAAGAAAAAAAAAGAAAAGGCTGAAGCAGCTAAGTGCCAGGTGTTCTTGAGAAATAGCAAGGTCAATCTGGCTCTAGCAGAATCAGAAAGAGGATAATACCAGGAAATGAGCAAAGAATTGGGCATGGAGTGGAGAACTGCAGACCACTAAAGGCATCAGGAGGGTGGCCTGACACAATACAGCAATGTCACGATACAGGACCAAATGTATAGTGTGGTGACTACAGTTACGAGTACTGTATTGTATACATGAAAGTTGCTGTGTGAGTAGATATTAAATGTTTTCACCATAACAACAGCAATAACAAGAACATGGTAATTATGTGAAGGATATGTTAACTTGCCTCACTGTGGTAAACATTTCACAATGTATATGTGTACCAAATCACTACATTGTACACCTTAAACTTACAGGATGTTGTATATCAATCCTATCTCAATAAAGCCCAGGCCTGCTGTTTTGGAATAAACCCTAGAGAGGCAATAATGACATCTTGTGAAGTCCAGAAAGTCTTCTTGATGACTCAGTGTACAGTGCTGTGTGATTTTAATACCTGCACCTAGGAGCTATTGCTATAAGGCAACTCTACCCTTAGCGTATCCTATCAGCATTTTCTCTTGTAACTATTTTCTCCATAGTAGCATTACAAGCCACTTCTGGGTAGGCACAGTACTTTACACTTCTTTTATATATTTCATAGGGCCTAGTATACATAAATACTTGCTTATTGATTAGTACTATTTTGAAAATTAGAAAAATATTGGCAATCTCTCTTAAAATGGGAATCACAATAAGAAATGAGAGTGAAACCTAAGTTGTATAACTCTGAATAAGAGACAGTGAAATTGTTTCTTCTTTTATATCCACTCTTGATACATACACTTATCTGTCTATAGAGACCCTCAATTTTGCTAATAGTTTATAACTTAAAACTTACAAGCTATTAGCTCTTAACTTAAATTTCCCCTTCTTTAAATCATCTTCCAGAGGCACTAAAAAGCATATAGTGAAATTAATCAATTTCACATTTTCCCCTTACTTCTGTCTATTACAATCAATATCATACACACAGTAGGCATAAGTGTTTTACACTAAATTCTTAAGGAAATGAGTCGTGGAAAGAGACTTCAGAAAAGAAAAAGCAAGGTGACCACATAATTCAGTTCTTCTAGCCTCTGAATAGTTTAAAATTAATAGAACACGAAGTTCCTAACTTACAAATTTTCTATACAAACTACTTTGTGTGTAGAAAAGAATCAGCTTTCTTAAATTCTAGTCCTTCTTTCAACACTAAGTAACTCCAAGTCACTAAAACTACAGAGAATCCTTGTAACATCTTACTACGCTGATGGACAGTGACCACACTGGAGTAGGTGAGGACTTGATAATACATGGAAGGTTGAACCACCATGTTGTGTATCTGAAACCAACGTAAGGTTATATATCAATGATACTTTCATAAAAAAAAAACTAGAGAATCCTTTTGTAAACCATTATTATAATAATCAAGTTGTGAGTTGGCTGATCAGAACTTCGGATGCATTTTTCATCAGTCAAATATTGTAAAAGTATTGTTGCAAATAGATAGCACTGTCACATTAGGCAATGGAGCAGAAGCTCCATGAGTGCAGGGACTATTTCTTTCTTGTTCGTGGCTTTATCACTATAATTCATCATGTAAAAGGAAGCTACAAGGAAGGGAAAACACCGGACCATTCTTAAGGCTGTGAGATTCCCTGAGATTTCCCTTTATCATCTCCATTATTAGCCATTGACCACCCTGAGCCCATTCCCTTCAGAATTACCTTCTTCCAGAAGAACATCTCCCACCAGTGCTTCCTTTTTTCCCCTTTTTCCTAGTCCCTAACATGAGGAACAGACAGCAATTCTTACCAAGTGGCAGTGAAAGAGGGATTTGGCACTTTACAAAACTCCTCTTGCTGTCCAGGAAATGACTTTCTGGGGCATGACTTGGGGTGACATTCACATGTATGAAGTTTGATTTTAATGAGGTGTTATGTGTAAACTCATCTGAAAACAGATAATCATTATTTGTAAGCTAGGGTATGGTTATATAGACATGGAGGAAAGGGACTGAAACAATAGGTATGATAAAAATAGCATCTGGACCATTCATCTCAGCTGGTTAGGAAACAAGCGTTCTTTTAAGCTTGTAAGTTTTGTCAACCAGGTCATTTTGTACAGGGGGACAGATTATTTCCTATGGTTGCAGACTACACCTTTATACCTGGCCTGTCATCTGAGCTCTTCCTCAGGAGGGCTCAGGTGGAAAAGGAGAAAACCCATCTTCACACCAGGAAAATAAACAATTATTGGCCAGTTAGAATGTGATCTTTCTAGGAAAAGAAGAGCATATTTGGTAGAATGTTATTTGTGGTATTATCTAGGATCAAAGGGAAAAAATATAATTTGAGCAGTAGGTTGGTAAGAAGACTGCTTAGGGATCTTATTCTTGCCATATGCCACACGACAAAAGCAAGGAAAACAAATGAAGCTCATTTCCTCACAACTACACTCTACACAGCGAGGATGTATGACTGAATATCAAGAATGGTTAAAAGAACATGTGCATATTCAGAACACTTGAAGGGAACATTGTCAACTGGCCAAAGCCTACGTAGAAGATACGAAGCTGAAAGTAGGCTGAAGAGTCTTTAGGAAGCATTTTACTCTGAGATTTCTGCTTTGTACTAGATTTAACATCTCTAGTTGGGCAGCAGTCTGCTGGAGACACTGATATCTTTTGTATATTTATTCTGGACTGTCTTCGCCCTAAACTTACAAATTCTAGTGGCAAGTTCTCATTGACTTATTTCAAATAGTGAATGACCTTTTGTAAACCATTATTATAATAATCAAGTTGTGAGTTGGCTGATCAGAACTTCGGATGCATTTTTCATCAGTCAAATATTGTAAAAGTATTGTTGCAAATAGATAGCACTGTCACATTAGGCAATGGAGCAGAAGCTCCATGAGTGCAGGGACTATTTCTTTCTTGTTCGTGG